TAACAGACATTTCTTCTTTAAATTATTTTGCTTTTATAAAAAACACATCAAAGAAATAAAGAATAGTAACATTGTACATGTAACTATCTAAGAGAGGTTCAAGGAGTGTGACCTGATAAAAATTATTCCAGGTTTTTAAAATATTAATGTCCTTCCACATTTCCAGACACAATTGTGATGACCACATGATTTCCTCTTACAATTATATTAACTATCTAATATCTAGTTAATGTGTTAAGTATGTCTATAGGAGCAAGTTAAATAGAGACAGGCCTGCCCTTTCAGCTTATTTACAATAACACGGACAAAACAAAACTCTGATGCCTGCTACAAGTTTTTCAGATGTCAAATTGAATAAGCAAACATGGCACTTATAGATACTTGTCCTTTGTGTGTGTACATTTAACACATTTCTCACATCATTGTTTCATCAAAGTCTTTTCTAGTCACTACAGGATCATTCAGAACTTTTGATTTTGAGAAAATAAATCTGAAAGATACTGGGGTGAGCAAGGATAATGGCTTGTCCAATTTAGGTCCTACCATTTTTACCTGCAAAACTGAGGTCTAGAAATAACCACAAACATCTCTAACACAAATCACAAACTGAAGAAAACATCTTCTCTACAATTCATTTTGATCTATCTTACTAGAAATTTGAGACTAGAGGGAGGTATGTTCACTCTCAATTTCTAAAACTCTGGAAACTGCTCCTCACAACAGCCCCCAGGGCCCATCCTCCTACCTGGGGAAATGCAGATGTCACGTACCCTCTGAAAGAAACCATGAAGTGAGAGGGGCTCTGGGAGCAGGTGTCCAAGCCTCCACCCACCAATAGGGTAGCACAAAGCATTGCCTTTCCTACAGAGACTGCCTCTTCTCTGTCCTACAATTTGCCAACATCCAATTGTTCCATCTATATATATACCTCACCCTCCCATCTCAAGTCCCTCCCCTGCTCATACCATGGCTCCAAATGTGCCATGAGCCATGTCCACCTGCAATAAACCTTCCCTAAGAATCACATCCCTCTGTGAACTTGCTACTCAGAAGCCCCTCAACACCCAGACATTTGGGGACCCATACCATTTAGCACTTACTGAAATACTGCTTGTTACCGTTTTTACGCCGCTTCATTTGAGTGGGTTTCAGCTCCCAAATTAAATTACAAGCTGCTTGAGGACAAGGACTGTGCCTTATAGCTCTTTTGAATCCACCCACAATGTCCAGAACAATGCCCAGCACAGAGCAGGTGCTTGAGAAATGGTGGTTGGTGGTGATGGTCATGGCTGGAAGTCAGAGGGCAGCTGAATCTCCATATGTGGGTCCATCTTCTGTCACTACTGAGAGAGTCCCAAGGGGCATATGATGTCACTACCCTCCAACACCACCTCCAGCCTCAGAGGCCACACCCCTACCAGGAGGATACCTGGTTTCCAGGCCCAAGAAGCCATGTTCACCACTTCATCACTCCCTTTTAGTAGATTTTTCCCCTCACAACCTCGTGCGGGAAGGTCTTTTTTGGGAACCACCCTTAAATATTTCTGATGTAACAAAGTGAGTCTCCGAGACTTGTGGTTTCCTCACTTTAGAGATGGAAATGAACAGAATTGCCACTAAGCACCCCTCAAACTGACAAGAAGAGGGGGAACATCTGGTGGTATAGTAGGCACCAGATGGGCCCCTAACTTCCAGCTCTCCTGCCCACATCAGGGGTTCTCATGCGGAACCCTCACAGTTACCACAACAGCGGCAGTAGCACCTGAACCCAAAATACAAGGTCTAGGTATACCTGACCTTGAGCTGAACACAAGTCTGAGATCTTAGCAAACTAGTCTTTCTCCTTTTTCTCACCCAATGAGCCGGACCCATGTCTGGAGCCTGGGTAGCAGTGAGCCTTGAGCCCATTTCCATCCCTCTCTGGAGAGGTTTCTTCATCTGTAAAGCGAAGGGCTCGGACTGGTGAACCCAAAGCCCCCTCCAGTTCGAACACTAAGTAGGGAACAGTCCAGATGACTTTTGACTCTTTCCCTCACACCCCCTGTGTCTTCTGTGTCCTGGGCACGACGTGGGACCCTCACAAGGTCAAGGAACATTAGCTACAAAAATGTCAAGTCGCGGCCAGGCTGAAAGGGCCTCCTACGCCTGAGTTTCACAGAGGAGCAAGTCAAGACTGGAACTCCTGCATAGAGCGGTTGTTCAGACCCCAGCCCACGTCAGCCGTCCACGCGCACACCCCTCTCCGGTCTCTCTACTCCCCACCCCCATGGCACGCGGCCCCTGCTCACCACTCGCTCAGTAGAGCAGCTCCCGGAGCGCGACCGCCGCAACTGTAACTGCTCAAGCCCAGCACGCGACCTGGATTCCCGGAGCGAGGCCGCGAAATTGTGTACAGAGTCGCCATGACAACGGTCGCTTCCGGGGATTCCGGAAGTGTCAGTGGTGGCGGAAATGAGGTCCTACGTCCAGGGTATGGGTAAGGTCATGGTAGAGTTGGGAAGACGAGAGATGGGGCCTGTCAATTCAGAAAGGCTGCAGCAGCTGCATGCGCAGAACCAAGGTCGGTACAGTGAAGAAACGAAGGCTGCGTATGAACCAGGAAGCGGGGCAACGGGGCTTCCGGCGCAGAGGAGTTTGCAACTACGGAGGCCGCGCAGGCCCGTCCCATTACAGCTCCGCGCTCCGAGCCGCTGTGGGCGCGCGCCCTCGCCCCGCCTTGGTTAGTGTGGAGCCGACCGGCCAGGCCTGCGCAGTTGCGGCGGCCGGGGAAGATGGTGGAGGACGGCGCGGAGGAGCTGGAGGACCTGGTGCACTTCTCAGTGTCTGAGTTGCCTAGTCGCGGCTACGGCGTCATGGAGGAGATCCGGCGGCAAGGCAAGCTGTGCGACGTGACGCTGAAGGTACGGTGGGCTGGGCGGCGGCGGCGGTCGGCCGAGGAGAGGGGCCGCGCGGAGCAGAGGGGCGGGGGCCGGGGAAAGGACCCGGCGGCGAGGCGAGCTGTGCGGCTTGACGCCCGAGGTCCTGAGGGCTGAGAAGAGGGGCCGCGCCGGCGGAGAGCGAGTAGGGAGGACGGGAGCCGCCTTTCAACTCTGGGAAAGAAAGGTTGGGAGGTATGCCGCTCAGGCCCTTGGAGTGGGAAACGTTGGGCTGCCTGCCTCCCTTTTCTGTGTCACAAGGAAGAGAAAATGGACTTAAATCCCCTCCACAGAGGAGAGGTAGGTGGCTGGCTCCAGGTTCTGATGCACCGCTACAGCATCTTCTCGTTTGGGTCCCTCGAAGTTATCTGTGCTGTTGTAGAAGAGAAGGCTTCTCCCTAGGAGTCAGTGGATGCCTGTCCTTGATTGTTAGATTACTGTTTTGTCTCTTAAGAGCTTTTAAAATTTGGTCTTGAAATTTTTTGAGGTGGGAAGCTACTGTGCCCCACACTGGAAGGGACCAGCCACCACCACTACTACCACAAAGGTCTTGGAGACTGGGCTGATGGGCTTTGTAGGGAGATGGATGCTGACATCAAGTGGGGAAGATATCCTAACCACCTGTTCCCCACCAGCATCCTGGTCGCAAGAGCCAGCCTTCCTTCTGTGCCTTGGGAGAGGCAAGCTGTGCTGCTGACATGCGTTCCAGTTGGGAAGTTGCTGCTGCAAGCTGTTGGGCCCTGTCTGGAAGGCTCTCAGCTTCTGTGGGTGATCCCCAGTTTTGTTTGTTTATTTGTGTGTTTGTTTAACTATTCAGAGATATGTTTGTTCTTTGAATATTTACATGGTTAAGGAAACTTTTCTTCTAGAAATCTGAGTCAGATGTCTGGAGATGGTAGAGTAGATGTTTAAGAGTATGGCTTTGGAGACAGAAGGATTCAGGGATTAAAATCCGAGTTGTAACCTTGAGCAAACTGCTTAATCTCCCTAAGCCTCTGTTTTCCAAATGTAAAAGTAGGGATGATTCCTAATTCACAGTATTAGTATGAGAAAAAAAGGAGAAAAATTTGGGTCTTTGCATCATGTCTGGTGAAGCTTTTTCATCACTCTTAACTCTGGCCACAGAGGTTGATTTTCTAGGAGAAGAGTGAAATGGCCTGAGAAGGGGCGGGGTCCTTTCCGATGTGAGGGGGCACCTAGGGGATTGAGAACTGAGGTGGACCAAAAGAAGCAGAGGAAGTCAAAATAAATGAGAAGTTTTTGTCAACAGTGATAAGGTAGTGGAAGATGTTGAGGCTACTAAAAGAAAGATATGTTGTGGTAGTAACACTTGGTTTGAGGAGAGACTGATGAAAAGCAGGGATAGGGCAGAATTTTTGGATTAAGATTTATTTTAGGCTATAAGGGTGAGCCAGGGAAAGCATGTAAGACGGAAAAAAAAGACATAGCAGAGTAGGATGGTCAGTCACAGATACTTTACATAAGTCAGTACATTTTATCTCTGTATTTGATGCAAATACAGAAGATAGCAAACGTGAAGCAGAAAAATGCTTGTATGATTTTTTCATTAAAATTTTTTTGTTGTTCATTCAAAGGAAAGGGTCAGTCTGAATTGCTGCATTAGTTTTAAGGACCAGTATAAAGGTATAAACTAGAGCTGGGCAGGACTGTAGAGAGGATTTATTTCATTGGTTTTGAAACTATTCTATACATACACCTTGAGTAGATCAATAGCAATGTCATGGTAGGGGCCTGGAAAAAGGCAAGTAAACCAGGTTCAGCCACATCCCTACCTTCCACCAGAGCTGCTCTGTGAAATCTTTCTTTTTTTTCTTCCTTTTTTTTTTTTTATGAGACAGAGTCTCATTATGTCGCCCTCTGTAGAGTGCTGTATTGTCACAGCTCACAGCAACCTCCAACTCTTGGGCTTAAGCGATTCTCTTGCCTCAGCCTCCCAAGTAGCAGGGACTACTGGTGCCCACCACAATGCCCAGCTATTTTTTGATTGTAGTTGTCATTGTTGTTTGGTAGGCCCAGGTTGGATTCAAATCCGACAGTTCCAGTGTATGTAGCTGGTGCCCTATCTGCTGAGCTACAGGCGCTGAGCCATCTCTCTTTCTTAATAGTCTTTCCTCCAATTTCTGATGGTTCCTGTTTTTTTCTAATAAACAGGCACTGAAAATATGGTTGGAAGCTTTTTGGTGTGGTGTGGTTTATAGACTAGTGAGCCTCCCGTAGGGGAGCGGTTCTCAAACTTTAGCAGTCTTTAGAATCACCTAGTGACCTTGTGAAAATACTGGTTGTTGTGCATTGCCCCAGAATTTCTGATTTATTAGGTGTGGTCTGAGCCCAAAAATTTACATTTCTGACAGGTTCCCTACTATGGATGATTTTTTTTTTTTTTTTGAGCCAGCGTCTCACTATGTCACCCTTGGTAGAGAGCCATGGCGTCACAGCTCACAGCAGCCTCAAACTCTTGGGCTTAAGTGATTCTCTTGCCTCAGCCTCCCAAGTTGCTGGGACTACAGGCGCCTGCCACAACACCCAGCTATTTTTTGTTGCAGTTGTCATTGTTGTATAGCTGGCCTAGGCCAGGTTCAAACCTGCCAGCCTTGGTGTATGTGACTGGTGCTGTAACCACTGTGCTACAGGCGCCAAGCCGTGGATGATCTTAAATGAACAAAATTATTCCCCCTGTTGGGTACCACTGCTACATTCTGTGAGCTATGGCTATAATAGAATGTTGGACCTTTCTTTTTCGTGGGACAGGTTTAGAGTCCATAGGTCTTCAGGCTTCTGTCTAGGTTGTATAAGCCTGGCTATTACTCTGGAAAGCTTATGGTGGGAAGGGACTTGGGGCTCTCCCTTCTGCAGATTTTAACTTAATCCCCCTGAATGGTGCCATTTCCCTGTCTTCAGTGGTGCCCTGGTTATCCAAGTCTAGAATCTCTAATTCATCCTGTCCGAAGAGTAAACTTTGAGTCTTCTGCAAGAGCAGAAATGAAGCAGTTGCTTGCCTGGGGAGAGGACTAGTACTTTCTGTTTTCAGATCCTCATACTAGTACCTTCTGAGGAAACTGGTGACTCCAATAGTTGAATTTTAGAAGGGGTTCTGCATTGTCCTGCCATCTGCAGCACACAGTATTCTTTATCCAACCTACATATTACTCATTCATTTGCTTTTCATCTAAAATTTTATTGACTCTTCTAAGCTGTCTAAGCTATTCTTTTTCCTTAGGAGGTTTTTCCTCCTTGAACATTAGTCTGACAAGCAGTGTCATGCATATTCTGGAGTTGGACTGCCTGGTTTGAATTCTGGCTCTGCCACTTATTAGCTATAAAAGCTTGAGCAATTTCCTTAAGCGCTGGTGATTCATTTTCTTCATCTGTAAAATGGAGTTCATCACCTACTTGAGTGTTGAGGATTCTTTTAGTTAATATACTTCAAATACTCATTAGTAAATGTTTAGTAAGTAGAATATATAAAGAATAAATAATTTAATGGGGTTTCTAGAAGGAGTAGAGGTAAATGCACATGTTCAGCCTGCCATTTTGAGTTTGTTTTAACATCTGATGAACTTTGGTTGATTTTATTTCATTTATTGGTTGACTGATAAGGTCTTGTTCTGTTGCCTAGGCTAGAGTACATTGGCACAATCATAGCTCACTGCAGCCTTGAACTCTTGGGCTCAAGTGATCCTCCTGCCTTGGCCTCCCAAAGTACTATGATCATAGGTGTGAGCCACCATGTGCAGCTGGATGATTGTAAATTAACAAAATGTTTATTACTTTAAAAGAGTTTGCAAACCACTGCTGTACTTCAGTAGCTTGCATTTTATAGATGGGGACCTCAGCCCATAAGGGGAAGGGACTTGTCCAGGATCATGGAATGAGTTAGGCATTGCTAGGTGCTAGGACTAGATCTTTTTTTTTTTTTTAGAGACAGTCTCACTTTATCACCCTCGCTAGAGTGCCATGGGTCACAGCTCACAGCCACCTCCGACTCCTGGGCTTAGGCGATTCTCTTGCCTCAGCCTCCCAAGTAGCTGGGACTACAGGCGCCCGCCACAAACACCTGGCTATTTTTTGTTGCAGTTTTGGCTGGGGCCAGGTTCGAACCCACCCCCCTTGGTATATGGGTCGGCACCCTACCCACTGAGCCACAGGTACTGTCCTAGAACTAGATTCTTAGTCTCCATATGCAAGGTTAGATGTCCTTTCATGCTCTCCTATTGCTTCTTCTGTCACTGACAGTAACTGAACCAATTTCAGCTGCTACCGTGTGAGTGTACTTCGTATCTAACATGCTCATCCTTAACAGCATGTCATCTTTTCTATCTTTCTGAGTTTTAGGGAGTGTGTGAAAGTCAGAATTAGTGTGGCATCACAGCTCACAGCAACCTCAAACTCTTGGGCTTAAGCAATTCTTTGTCTCAGCCTCCCCAGTAGCTGGGACTATTTTTTTTATTGTTGTTGTTGCAGTTATTTAGTTGGCTCAGGCCGGGTTTGAACTCACCACCCTCAGTGTATGTGGCTGACGCTATAACCACTGTGCTATGGGCGCTGAGCCAGTACCACATTCTTGAAATTCACTGTCAACACTTGAATCTAGACTTAATTTCTCTTTTGGAAATATTTGAAATTTAAATTCCTTGGGAGCCTCTTGGATAGTTAGGTAGAGACACAACAGAAAGTAATTTTTAGTTTTTTCAAAAAACCACATTCTCTATCTTTGGTGACTTAGACCTTTTCTGACCTATTATCAGAAAAAGATCCTGGTCCTTTTCTTTGGCAAATCACTTTGTCTTAAAAGAGAATAGGCTCAGTGCCTGTAGCTCAACCGGCTAAGGCGCCAGCCACGCACACCTAAGGTGGCAGGTTTGAATCCCCAGCCCGGACCCGCCAAACAACAATGACGGCTGCAACCAAAAA